CTCCCTCCCTCCCTCCCTACCCCCCCCTCCATCAGTTTACAGAAACCAGGTGCTCCTAGCCAGGACAAGCACATGAGGATTGTCCATGAGGCAAACAGCCTGCTGTATTAGAGTGGCTCCAGCCACCTCACCTCCAAAATTACAGTTTGTAATTGTTAATTTTGTCAATTTCAATCTAGAATTACTTGAGAAGAGAGTCTCAGTGAAGGCCTGTCTGTGGGGACTGTGTTGATTACATTAACTGTGCTAGGAAGACTTGCCCACTGTGGGTGGGACCATTCCCTTGGTTTGGGTCCTGGAGTGTGTAAAAAAGGCACCAAGCTGAGCATAAGCATGCATGCATTCTTTTCTCTGTTTCTGACTTCAGGCACAGCAGGACCAGCTCCCTTAAGCTTCAACTTGTGATTTCTCCACTGTGATGTACTGGAACCTGGACTCTGAGTTGAGACAAGCCCTTTGTCACTGTATTTTGTCACAGTAACTGGAAATGAAACTAAGACAGTCCCAAGTGGAAACTCTAGACATTCAGACAACAAGGGTGGTTCTCCTGGGAGGAGAGAACTGGCTAGGAAGAGGTAAATGACAACATGATCTGGGATGAAAAAGAGGAAGCTTGGAGCTGTGGCACAGGGAGCCACCAGGATGGAGTTCTCAGTAGGGAGAAGCAGACAACTGCCAGCATATCCTGAAGGCTCCAGGCACAGTAGCCCAGGGTTCAGCATCTTGTGGTTGGCACCATTAAACCTTCACTGTGGTCCTTACCCTGCTCTTGCATGACTAAATAGCTTCTTTCAGGTCACCTCAGAGTGAGTATTCTAGTTCCTCATACATGGGGAACTCCAGTTTAAGTCAGGCCTCTGCCTCACCTGCTTCCTGGAGTGTGGCTTTGGGTGGACAAGTCAGGTCTTGCCTATGAAACACCCGAGGCGCCTGTTACCGGAGCCACAGCACATGCTCCAGGATTGAATGGGTCCTGCCCTGAGGGAGTGACATGACCACCCCAAAGTCTTGTTTTCTGTTTTTCCAGCTACATTCTTTCTGCCCAAAGCCCATGAGCTGGCCCAGGCCCAGTCCACAAGGCCCAGGAGGCAGTGTGGGACCATGGAGGAGCAGCCAGTGCAGGAGCCACAGCCTGTCAGCCCCCTGGACTGCATCCTTGCCCTCCATCTTGAGACTACCAGGATGGTACCTGTACTGGCCATCACACTGTACAAACACAGTGCCCACATATACAGACACGTGTACAATCACACAGTCACAGCCACAAAGCATCACACAGTCAACACACAGCCACACACACTCACAATGTCACACGGTTATATACAATCACACATTGTCACAGCATCGGGTACACAGTCACACAGTGTTACTGATCGTCATACATAGTTTCACACTGTCACATATACAGTCACACACGTTCCACATGCATACGCACGAAGGGTCCACAACACTGGCTTCCTCCCAGGCATCAGGCTGCCAGTGGTAGTCTTCCTGGCCATTGAGGAAGCAGCCTCCACATGTGTTTTTGTGTGATCCATGTCTGTTCATGCAAACGTGTGCATGTACCTGGCCCAGAAAGCTGGCCTGAACTATCATTGCATGAGGGGACTTGGAGGGCTGGCTAGTTCTAGAGCTGTCTGGGCCTGTGCTGACTGAGCCCCCGTGGCCCTTCTCCCTTCTTCCCTCCTCCCTGAGGTGCAAGCCTGGCTTTGTATCTAGTACTGTGGTAACTCCATCTGGGAGGTTCTACAGAATTTAGGGAAGGTTTCTGTCTTGGATACTAGGAACCTATCCATGCCCCATGCAACAGAGGTATCCCCCTCCGTAGTGCACTTTGGCTAGGACTAATGGAAGACAATAGGGGCTACTCTCCTGCAGGTCCCCTGCTTCTGCTTGGAACAAAGCTTTCCCAATCAGTTGACCACAGGGACCAGTGCTGACAGAGCCAGACACTGGGACACTTACTAACTAAAGCTCTGAAAAGTGACTCAGCATAGAATGGGTGGTAGGACCTGCGGCTAGTGACTTGCTTCTGACTCACGAAGGAAACTGTGCCTGCATGGGGCGGGGGGAGCGGGGAGGACACAGCTGTAAAACCATGAGCTCAGTTTGAAGTTGCTGCTCCTACTTCCTGAGAGGCTTCAGGGGCCAGCCATGGCCTATAGGCACAGGGAAGCTTGACTCTGGGGAGAGTGGTGGCTATGAGGAAACAGAGCGGGGCCCCAGCTAAGCCCCACTGTGGATACAGAAGCAAGGTAGCTATGGAGCAGCCAGGCATGCCTCCCAACCCCTGCTCGGGGATGTGGTTGGTGTCCAGAAGGGTGAGGATGTCCCAGGGGCTAGAAGCAGCATCCAGGTCTTGAAACCCAACAGCTATACTACTTGCCATGACTATCTATCTGGGTCCTGGGTTCAGGTCTACCTGGCTCACCAACTCTTCAGGGCAAAGCAGGTTACCAGGACACCTTAGAAAGGGTGTGGCTTCCTCTCCTCTAGCCTCTCTTCCTGCATATCCAGCAATTTTCCTCTCTGTGACCCCCTGCAGTGGAAAAGCCCAGCAGGCTCAGGCCTGCAAAATCTTCCAAGGGTCCCTATCAGTGGAATCTCTAGAAAACTTCAGGATGGCTACATGATTAACAGTTCCCGCCCACCCTCGAAGGCGACCCTGAGACACTGAACATACCAGGACTCTGTGAGTTCACAAATGCAGTAAATCGATGATGATGACAAGATACTGGGGGCCTGGGAGAACCAAACTCAAATCTGTCCAAACTCGTCTCCAGCCCCAGTGTGCTCGGGCCTCCACACCTCACATCTCACTCTGAGGCTGCATGATCAGTGAGAAGCTCCGGTTGGGCTCAGGGTCAAGGTCTGAACGACTCTGGATGGGGGCTCCTCCAGATCTGATGCTCCTCAGGTCCAGTTCTCATCAGCTCCCAGATCCGTTGGTCCTTCAGCTGTACCAGATGTTCCAACCTCATCACCTTCATCTGCAAAATCTTCAGAAAGCACACAAGTCTGAAAGTATCTAAACAAGTCTGTCTACCTGCCAGCTAGGCCTTGGGCAACTCCATCCTCTGGGAATGAATGTACAATTACATACAGGTCTGATGGTTTCGGGATAGGACCAAAGGCCTTTGTGGGGGCCACTGGGAAAGAGAGACACCAAGATCCTTGGGGAAGATCCTACAGTCAGTGAGCTTGAGGAGCTCACAGGGTTGGCAGCCTGTGGAGCGCTGGTTTTTCTCCTCCTGCTCCTTGCTGGGAATCTTCCTGGCCTCCCTGCCTGTTTCCCTGTGTCAGCCAGAAAGGCCAAATGTAGGGCAGGGCAAAGGAGGGCAGGGCAGGGTAGGGCAGGGTTGCAGAGGGACTGAGCCTTCTTTGCTATAATCTAAGCACCTAGTTGGGAAGTTACTCAAGGCACATTCGCAGAAACAACAGATGATGAATAGATATGTGGCTGTTGTGTTGTTTGTTTATCATGTACTTCCAAAAGTTGCTGACTCAAGAGTAAGTGTGTGTGTGTGTGTGTGTGTGTGTGTGTAGAGCTCTCAGTGGTTAAGGTTAGGAGTGCATTCTCTTGAAGAGTTTGGTGGGGCATCCCTTTAATCCCAGTGCAAACTCTATGAGTTTGAGGCCAGCCTGGTCTACATAGTGAGTTCAAGGACAGCCAGAGCTATGTAAAGAGACACTGTCTTTAAAAAGTTAAAAAGGGTGTTGGTGGGGAGAGTGTGTCTGTACTTGTAATCTCTTGGAGAAGTTCAGGTTGATTTCTACCACCCACATGAGGCAGCTCACAAACACCCGCCACTCCAGCTCCAGGAGAGTCTGATGTGTCTGCTCTCCATGGGTATCTGCGCATACTCAGATGTACACAAAATTAAAAAAAATTTTTTTTGAAACTCTGTCTCTCTATGTAGTCCTGGGTGTCCTGGAACTTTCTATATAGACCAAGCTGGCCTTGAATCACAGAGATCCTCTTGTCTCTACCTCTGGGATCCTGGAATTAAGGACACATGTCACCATGCCCAGCTATACGTAATTTTTTTTTAATGAAATAAAAACATAAGTGAATGAAGATGGGGCTGCTACAGCTAGGAATGGTGGCACCACCTACAATACCTACAATCCTAGCCCTGGGGAGGCAGAGACGGGGGTCACTGAAGCTTAAGGCTACTCTGGCTAGTTAGCAAGACTCAGCTTCACAAAACAGAAGAGAGAGGAGAGAGAGAGAGAGAGAGAGAGAGAGAGAGAGAGAGAGAGAGAGAGGGAGGGAGGGAGGGAGGGAGGGAGGGAGAGAGAGAGAGAGACACAGAGAGAGAGAGAGAGAGACAGAGAGACAGAGAGACAGAGACAGAGAGACAGAGATAGGCAGAGAGAACACAGCTTGAGCAGCTCCTCTCAGTCCTTCGGCACATCTGGGGCATCCGTGGTCCCTCCATGCCTGCTTCAAGGATGACCTTGTCCCAAACTTTCACCCATTGGAAACCAAGACCCGACCGTGCTCCTCAGGCAGAAAAACTGGATCTGTCTCATTCCCATGTAGTGTGAAGGAAGGCATGTGGATCAGGGTGGGGAGCCAGCCTCACAGCAGACAGTAAAAGACAAGGTCCTTCCCTGGACCTGTGGAGTATGACACTGTGTTCACAGGCAGTACATAAAGCCCATGTTCCGGACACCTGTCCACTATTCTTCATTCAAATCAAAAAGCCAGAGAGCTGGATGGCTAGATCCAGCAATGGATTCCATCCTATGGGGCCCAGCCACAGGCTTGATACATCCTGTCTATCACAACAAATTCCTCCAAAGTTGTGTATCTCGCTTTGTGACAATTTACAAGTGGTGTTCAAGCCTTAAATGGCAAGCTGAGTGTCAGCCTTTAGATGGTAAATGAGTCTGTTCCCTCTCTGTGTCTCCAGTGAAAAGTTACAGTTCCCTTGGTCAGCATATGAGCCACGGCAACAGCGGGGTGGATGGAGGCAACAACTTCAGTTCTCCTTACCACTTCCTCTCTACTTCTGCTCTGTAAGTCCAAAGTCACAGTAATATCACATCACTTTCCTGTTTTCACAAGAAGATAACTTGTCAAGATTTGCGTACATACTCAGGAACTGAGATGGCATTGCAATTTCCGATAGCCCCTGTGACCTCGGGCCATTGGTGCAGAGTCTCTGTTTTTTCCTATTATCTTAGCTTGTGTGTCCCCAGGATACAGAGAGAGGTAAGGAATAAGGGGCACCGGAAGTTCCTAGTGCAAGAGCAGAGGTGTGCCTGAAGAACCAAATATCCATCAGAGAGCAAGGCATGGACCACACAACCAGGCAGATACTGCAGGACTAGGTGTGTCCTCACAGAGCCAGGAGTACATCCACAGAACCAGATGTGCATGTGCAGTCCCAGGCATTAGCCCACACAACCAGGCACACACCACAGGACCCTGGTGTGCACGGCAGAACCATATGTGCACTCCAGAATAAGCTGTGTATCATAAGAGCCAGGTGTGCACTGCAGAGCTAAGTGTGTTTCATAGAACCAGATGTGCATCAAAACCAGGTTTGCATTGCACATCTAAATGCTCACAAGGATCCCCAGGTGGGTTGTTTCGAGGGCCCTGGCTTTTGGAGATGAAGAAAAAGACAAGGCCCAGTTCAGGCTAATGGGGTATGTGGCAGGCAGGAGCCTCTCCAGCCAGCATCCTTCCCACTCTATCTGCTTCCCAGGTGTTCGTCCAGCACCTGCTTCCGGAAATGGATCCCAGTCCACACTGCCATCTTGTACTCCTGAGCTGCACTTGGGTCTGGGATGGACAGACTATTGAGGCAGGTAGTGAGTACATCAGGGATCCACCAATCCACCATATCTTTTCCGCCTCTGAGAAGGATTGAAATGGTCCACAGATTGTTTTCTCTCCTTTTTTTTTTTCTTCAAATTTTCAAGACAGGGTTTCTCTGTGTAGCCTTGGCTGTCCTGGAATTCACTCTGTACACCAGGCTGGACTCAAACTAACACAGATCTGCCTGCCTCTGCCTCCTGAGTGCTGGGATTAAAGCCATGAGCCACCACTACTAGTCCACTAGCTAATTTCTAAAGAATCTAAAGAATATCTAAAGAATGTTGATTCTCTCTGGTCAGGGCCTCTCACTCCCCATATAGCCCTCACTGGGTCAGTGCCGGCTCTGCAGAAACTCAGCCAAGGAGTGTGAAACTGGGGTAGTGGGTCCCTCTGCATCCTTGCAGCTCGGAATGTCCAGGAAGCAAGGGATGCCCAATAGGACCATACCTTGACTGTCTCCTGCAGAATGGCTAGTGCTTGCTCCTTATCCTCCAGCTGCTGCTGGATGCTGACCAGGTGATCCCAGAGCCCTTCAATTGAGTCCCTGAAAGGTAAACACTGACCTTTAATCCAGGATAGGGATCATAAGGAGGTGGGCAGGGAGAATGTGAGAGATAAAGGTCCACCCTCTGCAAGCACAGCAGCCCATTTTCTCCATATCCCTTTGATTCTGAAGGATCTTCGTGCTGGAGGGGGCTGGAGGGCTCTGTAGGCCTGTATGACAAATAGACACCATCAACTCAGGACCTTGCTTCTGAGAGGCACCCACTAGTGACAGGACATGTGGATGAGGGGAGGGGACATGATCCATAGCCAGTAAAGCAGACTCAGAAGTTATCATGGAAGGATTTGGTCCTATCCTGGTATCAGGGCCCTTAGCATAGCCCTGGAAACCTCAGAAATGATGCTTCTGTTTGAATAATGGTTTCCCTGCATAGCTCACAGGCTCCCCCTTGGATGGTTGCTCTCTGGGTATTGATGGAGCCAGGACCCTAAGTATTATGCCTTCCTCAGAAGCCCACTAGCCTCTCTGGGCCCAGGATGCACCTGAGCATACCTGCCTTCTTTTGAAGGTTTGGGAGCTCAAGATCATCATGCACCCAGCTTTCAGGAATGTAGTGATGTTCTCTGTAGGAGTCCCAGAGGGGCTCTGACAGGCTGCAGTTATCCACATTAGGATCTTGAATCTTAGTGGTATGTGAGTGGGAGGTAAGCTCCCCCCAAGGTCGGACAGCATCCACACCAGAGAGTCCTGGATCCTGCAAAGTACAAAAGTTGGGAAGTAGCTGGGCTGAATATGTTTGGTCTGTATGTGCTCTGGGTAGGGTTAGTGTGTAAGCTGGAGAAGAGTGGGAAGGGCTTCGGTTGGTTCTGTTGGAGCAACTTTTAAGTGTTTTCACTGCCCCAGGGTAGGTGTATCAGGCTGGGAAGGAGATGAAGAGCTGGGAGAATCCCAGACAGCAGGGAAGTCAGGAAAGAGTCTAAGTGAAGACTGTAGCCTCATGTACAGACTTCATTTTCTTTCTTTTTTCTTTCTTTCTTTTTTTTTTTGGTTTTCCGAGACAGGGTTTCTCTGTGGAGCCCTGGCTGTCCTGGAACTCACTCTGTAGACCAGGCTGGCCTCGAACTCAGAAATCCACCTGCTTCTGCCTCCCACGTGCTGGGATTAAAGGTGTGCGCCACCACCACCCGGCCAGACTTCATTTCTTTCTGGACCATTCCTGTTTTATTCTCAGACAGGTTATCTGACTGTGTGCAAAGGGCAGAAATCACAGCAGACTTGCAGGCTGAATCGATGTGCAGACACTTACAGCTGTACTAGCTGAGCCTACATGAACAGCACTGGCCTCCATCTTCTCCCTCAGTGCACATAGGATAGATTCGATCACTCCAGGCCTGTTGGATACCACCCTTTGGATATCATTATCTGAGATACACAAGTGTAGCTTGCGGAAGACTTTCCTGCAAAGAAGGTAGGGGTACACTCTCAAAGCAGTCCCATCAAGGGCGGAGAGTTGAGCCCTCCCTGAAGTTCTGTCCTCCCTGCAATGCCTTCTAGCCACTGGGCAACGTCTAGCTTTCTCAGAGAGCCCCTTTTTGCTCTGCACTTGAGGGGTACATGGCTCTCTCACTCCTGGCCTTTGGGGCTATGTCTCAGGAGATCACAGAACACGGTGCTCTATCAGGCCATGCTCTCTGCACTCATTCTCATCTCTCTGATGGCTTGCCCTCTGTACGTCCTGTTGATAGAGCTCAACAGAACCGGAAACCTGCAGCTGGGCCCTCTCAGGCATGATCATCTATCTCCCTTGAGTTTTCTTTCCATCTCTACCCTCTCAAACATAAGCCCATGAGACTGTACCCAGGCCTGACTCCTGCAATTCTATTCCAATCTGAGCCAGTCTTTTGGGCGTTCTGACTTCCCCTATACAACATCCTGGGTGCCCACATGTTCTCCACTTTGCTCTGCTTCCTGAAGGCCCAAAGTGTTTGGACTACATCGGATATGTCTGCCCAGCTCTGACTGGTTGTTCTTGATACCACTTATCACATATCAAACATACAGGCAGAGACTTGTCTGAGGACATTTTGGGAGGTGAAGTAAAGCATGCCTCCACTGATCTGTAGGGGAACAGGCTAGCTGGTAGGCTTCCCTAGCAAGGAGCCCCCAGGGACCCTGGTTGTGGTACATTTCTGTAGGCAAGGCCCCACAGTAAGGCAATCAGAGACCCACAGCTGGAGAGAGCATCCCTGGGTCAACCTAGGTGGGCTGAGCTCCCAGGCCTTGCCTGTTGAGAAGGCTCCAGTTGCTCAGCTTCTGGTCTGTACTGCAGGCTGGGATGTAGCTGTGCAAGTCCACTAGCCGAGGGCGGAAGTACTTCACAATCTCGGCCACCAGCACTGTGGGAATGCGAGGTGAACTTGGCTTGCCTGGCTAAGACCCTGGGTTGCAGCTGAAATCCCTGACCACATGAGCTGCATGGAATGGAGTGGGAAGGACACGAGCTTGTCCTGGGGAGCCCATGATTGTCCCCGAGTCTTCGGCACCGCACCTAGACTCAAGGACAGATCAAGTGGTAGGATGGCCTGGGGACCTAATACAGCGTGAGAGCCCAGGAGGAGCTTGAAGAGCCACAGGAGGCCATGTTTGCTATTACCTTTTCTACGGAGCACGAGTTTGGACTCAAGAACCGCTCCGTTCCCCCAACACCCACACCCATACTAAGGGGCTGGACGCAAGGGTGGCCCTCAGCTTTGAGTCCTCTTCATCATCCTCCCCATAGCGCCTCTCCCTCACTCGCACCACCATCACTGAAGTCCCGAGCCAAGTGGCGCTTGGGGCGGCTGAGTGGGAGCCGGTCCAGCCAGGCGCAGAGATTGTGAATATCCCCTGGCGTTGGCAGGAACGCAGCAGAGCCCTGCTTGGAAGTACTGAGCATGGCAGAGGAGTGGGTATGCAGCAGCGAAACACAGCGGAAGAAACCTGGTGAGGTTGGACCGTTGCTGGGAGACGAGGCACAGCCGGAAGGGGCGGGGCCCTAACCGCATCCGGCCCTCCCTCGGTCCCAGGTAGAATTGGGTCCTCCTGCACATCCAGAGACCCGGCTGAATTAAGGTGGATGGTTAAAAATGAAGAGAGATGGTAGGTGAAATAGTATGATCTGGTGTAATAAAAACAAACTGCCCTTTAGAATGTGATCTGTAATCTACTGATAAAATAGAATCTTTATTAATGAATAGTGTTCAGTCATAGTTTCAACAACTATTCTGGTTTCAACCCGGAAATGATGGCAACTTCTGTCCCAATACCCCAAGAACGTCGGCTTTTTCTTCCAAAGTCTCATATTTGAGTAGGATGTAAATACAGGAACTGTTCTTGGAGAGGTCACTGTGCGAGGGCCGGTGCAGAAGTTGCTGGGAGGGGACTCCTAGCATTCTGCCCACCCAGAGACAGACAGACTTGCTCATGCTCACTGCAGGCGCCGCCACTCCGGCCTAGCAACTAGCATACGTAAACATATGGTCTAAACTGGCCAAGGCCAGTTGAGAGGACACTGGTTCAGGAGGGCAGCTGGACAACAAAAGCCGCAAAGAGATTATTCCTGAGGTAAAAACAGTGCGTGCAGGTCCAGCCTGGGTGAGGGGCTTCTTGCTGAAGGAACACATTTATAGGAGCAGTGGTATCTCCAAACTTCTGCAAGTCTTCGATGGCCCTGGGGTGCCCTAGCGGGTCACCTCTTCTGGATGGGGACCTTCAGAGCAACCTTTGGCTCACCAACTCCCTGCCAAGGAAAAAAGAAATTGATATTAAAGAGGATCTGATAAGAGAGAGGTACCGCTGAAGATCCCCATAGACAGCTCTTTAAATTTAGACTTCCGCCTCCGCTAACAACAGCATAGCCCCGACCACACAAGATGACTGTACTAACATTTCATGGTATAGTGTGGACTAGACATATGAAAAGGAAAAAATCGATCGCCCCTGGAAGTCACAAGCACTGGAAAGTTCTCACAGATTATAAAGCAGACATCAGGCCTGTTACTGAGGATGTTCCCATTTTCTTTTCAGATGTCACCCAAACTTACCAGCTAAGAAAACAAAATCAGTCACCCACCCTCCAGAACAGTGCCACAATCAGCAGGATGGTTCCTACAAGATGGACCCCCACCTCCCCGGGGCTCACCTGAGTCACTCCAGGCCCAGGCTTGACTGGTGGTGCTGGGGGTGCAAAGGTTGGCTTGACCTGGGAGGAACCAGACACAGTTAATGGAGAGCATCGCCTAAGCAGGCTAAGTACTGCCCTTAGCTCCATCCTCCTGAGGCCGCCCTGCTCAGCTCCAGCCTAGTGCTGAAGGCTTCTGTATACACACAGCTCAGTAGGAGACCCCTGCATGGCCTCACCACTCAGAAGATAAAGCCTGAACCTGGCAGAGCTCGACTTCTTGGCTAGCCATCCTCACTCGTCATCTTTCAGCCTCACCAGTATCCCACACATTACCCTGAAGGTCTAAGTTTCAGAACATAGGTCTTTAGAAGCTCAAAAGGAAAGAATTAACTCTGAAAACACATTTCATTTCCATATTCTTAGAGAGGAGTGTAACCTGGCATTGGTAGGTTTTAAACATATATTGGTCTCCCTCCTCATCCAGCTTCCTTTAATCCTTGCCCAGAAGTCCCTGTACACTGTCCCCACTCTGCCAGTCGGGACTGTGCCTAGGATAAATTTTTCTTTTTCTTTTCCTTGTTTTGTTATGTTTTATTTGTTTGTTTTTGCTTTGTTTTGTTTGAGACAGGGTTTTCCCTGTATATTCCTGGCTATCTTGGACTCACTCTGTAGACCAGGCTGGCCTTGAATTCAGAGATTCAACTGTCTCTGCCTCCCAAGTGTTGGGATTAAAGGGATTTTTCAGCTCTTATGTAAGTCTAAAATTAGTCCCTGGCCAGACACAGTGGTGCATACTTTTAATCCCAGCACTCAAGAGTCTGAGGCAAGCAGATCTTTATAATTTTGAGGCCAACCCAGTCTACATAGAGGCCAACCAAGGCTACATAGTGAGACCCTGTCTCAAAAAAAAAAAAAAAAAGAAAAAGAAAAAGAAAGAAAATCACCCTCCTAGCCCTCCCTCCCTCCCCCCCAAAAAAAATGAAAATGAAAAACAGAAAATCACAGGTGTGATGGCTCATACCTATAGAACCAATACTCAGGAAGCTGACTCAGAATGACCATCATGAGTTTAAGGGCCAGCCTAGGCTACATAGTGAGTTCCATATCATTTGGCCTATTTCAAAAAACAAACCAAACCAACCAAACAAGCAAAACCCCCAGGGGCTTGTGAGCTGGGTCAATGGGTTAAAGCACTTGCCGGCATGGTGACAGGAGTTCAGTCTCTGCAACATGTAAAAGTGGAAGGGATGGGCCAGTTCCACAAGGTTGTCCTCTGATCCCCTCTTGCATCCTGTGATGTGCATGCACACGCCACAACACACACACACACACACATACATACACACACTCCACCCCATACTAATAAATAATAAAATAATAATAATAAAATCATCATCACATGCCACAACACACACACACACACACACACTCCACCCCCATACTAATAAATAATAAAATAATAAAATCATCATCATCATAAGCAAGGACCACTGAGATTGATCATCTAGTAAAGGTGCTTGCTGCACAAACCTGATGACATGGGTTTAATCTCAGAACCCAAGTAAAGGTCAACTTCACAAAGTGGTCCTCTGACATATGCACCATGGCATCTGTGCCCACACACATCATATACACAAAAATAAGACAAAAAAGCAAGAAAAATAAAGCCACTATCACAAAACCCAGAGCCAATTGTTAGAGTTCAAGGTCAAAGATTCCAGAGATGTAGGGTTGTAAGTCTCCAGATGATCTCTGAGGTAGTCACTCATTTCTCTCTCTAGGCATCAGTTCATTCAACACAAAGCTAGTTCCCAGCATGGAAATCATAGGAATTCACACCCCATCCCACTGTGGTTCCTTCCCATGCTATTCCCATGCTATTCCTACAGTAAGATAAGAAGTTGACAAACGAATTGAAGGACACTCAGAAGACAGCAAACTAGCACCTTCAACACAAGGAATGCGCACTGAACGCCACCTGAGAGCCTCAAGTGCCCAGAAGAGCAGATAAGATCCTCAACAAGGCCTAGAGCAGAGTACTCACTCTTCAGGTCCTACTCAAATGACTCTTGGGGAATTATCAGCCACTTTGTGGCCTTCACAGATGTCACTTGCCCACCGGAAGCTCCCTTAGCCCTGCCTCAGAGGAGCACAGATGCCTGCCCAGGAAGATGGCTAGCAGCACGAGGTAGGCAGCCGAACTGTGCAGTTAAGCCCTATGTCAGGGCTCAGGGCTCCATCCTGCTGCTAATAGCATTTGCTCTCTGGGATGGGCAGAGGCATGCATGCACACACACGCACACGTACACAAGTTCTCCACCATCACAGCCATGACCCTAGAGTATGCACATAGGGTTAAGACTACAGTAATGTCCATGACCTCTCAGAAGTAGGAGCCTACTTTTAGGGCTAAGAAAAGGGTTTCAGATCACCTGAAGGACTGGAAAGGACTCTAACACTGTGGGGAGGAAAGAATGAATGGATCACTACTTTCAAAGTTTTACTCAGCGGCATTTTAGAGACCTTCTGATTGATTCCCTATAGCCTCCTCCCAAAAGGAAAGTGGAAGAGGCTGCTCTCTGGAATAAAGGGCCACAGGCTTGCAGGAGGGGAAGGTCTCCTCAGTTCAAGGCTGTCCCCTTACCTGCTTTGGTTTCAGCTCTGGGAGGGGCTTGGTGGGAGGATCAGGTCTAAGCTGTTGAAAAAAAAAAAAGAATCAGGATCCAAAGACTAGACCAGTTCAGGGCTGGGGAGTAGGGTAGTACCTTTTCCCTCCCAGGCTCCCTGAATCAACCCTTAGGTTCACTTTAATATACTGACTAGGCAGGGCTGACAAACGTCCCCTGTACAGCAGCTGTTTCCTTAGGGCTTCAGGTCCACAGAGTCAGCCACCAGATAGCACCTCCCAAGAGGTTTCCATGTCTCTAGAATACATATGGCTGTTTCCCAAGGCTTACCTGATTTGGAACCTTTGGAGCATAAACAGGAACTGGGAGTGGTGGACTGGACACGGCACCTGGAGGCTTGAGGGGACAGAGATGTGAGCCTGGGCCCAAGAATCAGTGCTAAGGCCCCAGCCCATGGCCACCGGATCCCTTGCTTTTGGATCCAAGGCTCTTACATTTCACAAATGGAACCTGCTCCCTATTTCCTGCTCACCCTAGGCCAGCAGCCCATTCCCCAGCTGTGTTATCACACTTAAGGTACAGCAAGTGCATTCTCTTATCACACTTCTGGTCTGAGAGCCCTCAAACCCACAAGTTCAGACCCAAACTCCAAATACAGATTCTTAGAAGACAAGTCTTGACTTAGTCCTTGACCCTCCCTCAGGGTGACTATAACACTTCTCCAGGCTCCAGGCTACTGCATGGCTCATGAGTTAATTGTCACAAAATGCCTTCCCTATCTCCGATAGGTCACACTCTGGGGTAGAGGGATGGAGAGCCTGAGTCTCCTTCATTTCAGCCCCATGAACCTGTCAGAGGATAGTACTTACTGCAGGAGGGGGCCTCTTTGGTTTCACTATGGGTCTTGGGGGCTGGGGGTTTGGAGGGCCTGGAGGCCTGCTCTTAGCTGGCAGGTTGCTGTCCCCTGTGTAGAATAAGGGATTAGAGAGCCCCGTGGTAGGCTTGGGTGCCACACTCCTGGGGAGAAAAAGAGACAAGAATAATGTCATCACTTCTGGCCAGAGAATCCAGAACCCCTGGGCATGCCTCCCAAGTCAGCCTGGCATCTCTTCTCTGGCACATTCCACATAAGATGCTAGCTGTAGACTCAGGCACATGTGTGAGCACAGAAGGTCAAGGAACAAGTCTCTTGACAGCTATGCTAGGAATGTAC